GTTCTACCACCTGGAAATCAGGATAGACAAGAGTCTTGATGTTTGTCTTCCATGCGTCTTAAAGGATGGTGGGTCAAACTGAGCTGTATTTGAAGCTTGAGGGTTCAGTTCACATTTTGACCATTGCCATAAAGTAGGAAGGGGCTGGTCCATTTTTGGCTTTGTAGGCAAGCAGCAGGGTTTAAAATCTGATGTGGGAAGCCAGTAAAGGGTACACAGCAGTGGAGTGACATGAGTGAACTTAGGAAGATTGAAGACAAGCTGTGCTGCTGCACTCTGGATCAGTTGCAAGGGCCCGATGGCCCACATAGGAAGAGCAGCCAGAAGTGATTTGTAGTAGCCAAGCCTTGAGATGACAAGTGACTGAACAAGCACCTGGATGACCTCCTGTGAGAGAGAAAGGGTTGAATCCTTTGCATTTGTAGAGGAGAAAAAGGCATGACTGAGTCAGGTTCGCAATCTGAGCTGAGAATGATAGCTGATCATCCAGAAACACATTAAGTCTTCATGCATCTTCAGCCGGAATGACCAAGGAGTTCTCAAATGAGATGACAAGATCAAGGCGTTTGTGAGCTTCACTTTTGATCAGGTAGATTTACTGCAAAATTCTCAGTAAATACTATAGCCTTGCCTAATCTGAGTTCATGCCAGTTTCTTCTCTCTTAGTTATGTGCAAAATACCTACTTGAATGCTAATAGCTCAGCTTTGTAGAGAATCTTCAGCCTGCTGAATGCTGAGGAGTGACTTAGTAAGCAATTTATAAGAAAAAAAGGTATTGTACAGGTACATTTAGTTCCCAAAAGTACAAACAATGTATAGATATTTTTATATATGGATATTAACAGATATTTTTACCTTTTCATAGTTTAACTTGTTTTAAATAGAAAAAGAAAACTAAAAGCCTGGAGTCAAGGTGTCTTAAAGTCAATGCAACTCAAATAAATACGTACAGGCAACAGAATTATGTTCTCTAAATAAAGGTTCTCAAAATGCATCATTAAAATAACATTATTCTTTATTTCCTATGATGTAATTTTACTGTAAACCCTTGAGTTAATTCAGTAACCTACCCTGGTGTGGGGTTATGCCAGTTTCTTCCCTTTCAATAAGAGACTACCACTTCTTTATGTATGATTAGGGGTACATGGACAGTTTAGTAACTTTTTTTCAGAGTGCATAGGAATTTCTAATAAAGTGGCCAATAAGTGCATTTCAAAGTGTTCAAAACACTCAGCATGATCCACCACCCAAATATTATCTGGTCAGTGGTGGTCCTATAGTGGTCCCAACAGATGGGATACAGCCAGTATAACTGTATACCTATACCTGTATACCATGCAGTTATAGTAGATACACCTGATAAAGTAGCTTGGTACAAGGTAATGTACATTAAGTTATTGTCTATGACTATCAATGTCCTGTTTTGTAGTATTCATTGGAATCATTTATCCCTACAAATCTTTTATATATCATTAGGCAATTATATATAGTGGACAAGCTAGTGAGTTACTGCTTGTTTTCCTTTTTGATTTTTGCATTTAACTATTAGAACTTCCATACTTGTTGTTAATTATCACATATATTCTGAATTACAAACCTTCAGTAACCAAAGCTTGCCTCATTACCAGCTGATGAGCCCATTTACCATCTGATGCTGTTCTTTGCAACGTCTTTTCGGCACCATGGGACTGATAACAGCAATTGGCTTTTTTCCAGCTCAATCTCTGTTCATGCTATGTCACATTAAAAACTATTTAAAAGCTTCTTAGTCTCTGTTCCTCTGTGTTTCTGGCTCTAAACTTGTAACATAATTTGATTATACAAACTACAGAACAAAGAACACAACATGTTTAACTACCACCACTTATTTCAAGATCACATATGACAACCACCGTTGCTTGTCATTTCTGTAAGCGTCAGCACTCCCCCTTCCACTGCAGATGATTTTAGAACAAACTGAGACACAAATCCTTCCAGAGTCATAATGTACTGGTAAAATCTGAAGCTAGAGACATTTCATGCAGTTATCAACTTCTTTTATCATGAGCCTCTTATCCTTTGTTTTTCATTGTCACAGATATATTTGTATGGAAAGTCAAAAGCAGCTCTAAACATATTTAGACGCTTTGGGTAAATTAACCTAGAAAAATTCTGAAAAAGGCTAAGTGAAAAATCCCAGCGAGAGTCCTGTTCAAAATGACATGTATAATTAATTAGATGCTGGCATGCAACCAGAGATGGCTGTGTGTGTGTGCCTGTGTGTGCACTACTATCAGCTCCTTAGCCTGGAAACGCAACAAATCAATAGGGCAACCCTCAACAAACCCTGCTGTTTCTCCTGCATGAATGGATAGCTCAAGAGGTCCATCCAAAAAAACAAGCATCCTCCAATGCAGTCTGTTGTAGCAATACTGAGCAAATACAGCCTAAGGCATTGCAAGAGTGAAGGCCCTCACTGTGTTGTCTGAATGAATCAACACTAAGACAGAGGGAGTGAACCTAGAACACCAGTTAGCTAAGGGGTAAAAGGCTTAAAAGTGGAAGAATCTGGATGGTATATTCTATGGGAGATAGCAGATCTTCTAAGTGGAGTTGCAAGATAGGAGAGAGCACAGAGAGAGCATTACACTGAATGCTAGATTAACCAGTGGACCAGAGGAGGATATCATTTGGAGCATACAAATGATTCACTATGCTCTAATGATAATGAGATGCTGCACATCAGAATGTGAGAGGAAAAAGGTAGAGTTGGCTTGAACAGAATGTAGGACAACAAGAACACAACAAGCCTAGAGCGATAGAAGAACTCTAATGTTCATGACAGTTTACTGAAAATGTGAGCATTTTTCCAACAAATGTTGACTTGCTTTTAGTTAAGAGTGACCTTTTCTAAGTGAGGATACACTGACAAGTTAATTAGGCCTGACACATTGTGAAAGTGACATCACATTTAGATAAGATCTCCAGAAAATAAGAATAATAAACAGCGTCAGCCATCAACAATATTGTAGGATGTTTTAAGACACTTTGATACATCGACACCTTAACACGTGTTCTTTTTTTAGACATTTTGAAGACATGTCTTAAGACAACATAGTTAGGACTTAATGATCAGCTATTGTATTTTGTATTGAATATGGTGGAGGTGGGTTGCCATGCGGTCAATAGAAGAGCCTAAAAATAAACCATTCATTGTTTGGAATGCCTAATGATAGCCTTGGTATAAAGAACTGTTGAATATTGTTTGGAAAGACGGATTTCAACAGGGAACTTACGTAGACACTACTTAAGAGGGGCCAATTCTGCATAATTCAAATGCTGAGAGTGGTTTGATGTGAAATGGTTCATTGTAGTGAAACATACTGACTTATTTTTTTTTACTGTGGTGAAGACCAGAGGAGGATGGGTTGCCCTTTTGAGTCTTGTTTCCTTTCAAGGTTTCTTCTTCTTTCCTTGCCTCCTTTGCGATTGGTTTGCTCATGGGGGCCTGGACCCAGATTTTTCTGTAAAGCTGCTTTGGAACATCCCTGTTGTAAAAAGTGCTATATAAATAAACTTTGACTGATTTGACTTGAGGACAGAAACCAGGGTTTGCATTGCCTACAATACAAACATACCCATTTAATTTACAATCTATAACCACCGGTGAACCTACTTGTGCCTTCTGAGTTTTTATGTATTATGCTGATAATGAAAAGAAAGTATTGCTTAAAAAAACTTTTTCTTTTCATAGGTTTCTCTGGGGATTATTTTGCCCCACAATACTTTGCATGTACCTTTCTGCTAAAACATATTTTAACCCCTTAGAATCCCAGGTTTACATACTGGCTTATTATTCAGTAACTGCAGGGACTTCAGTGCAAACTGGCTGAGCTATTTTTGGGTTATAAAAAATATATAATAAAACTTTTAAGAGGTTAAACCAAAATGATATCTCATAACTATCGTAAACCAATGCAGTGTATTCGCAACCAGCTCTTAAAGGCATTAAATGCTTCAGACGTCTGGTTTCTGTCATCACTGTTGCATAAAAATCTGACTCAGTAAGCTTCTCCAGAACAGAGCAATTCACATCAAACCACTCTAAATGACTTTGTTTATTTTTAAACATCTTAATGATTGACTCATGCAGAAATCTAGAAAAATGGGTGGAATTCCCCTTTAACAGCCATGTCACAGCGCATATAGACCATTCATTTGTTAATTTTGTTAAAAGAGTTTGATAAAACCTCGCCTGCCCCCCTCATGTTTGTTGTGTATATTCAGGAGCTCACCTGTGGGTATGTTCACCATCTTTGCGCATCTTTTGGCTTCAGTGCTTCAGTCAGAGTTTTCAGCAGCTAAAGCAACAACACGCGCTCTCTCCCTGAACACAAGACCGTAGCTGAACTGTAAAAGTTAAAGGGATAAGGTACCAGAGGGGTCGCAGTTCGGGTCTGCTAGTTAGCAAAACTAAAGATAGCACTGCTGACTGGGTTAGGACGCAGTGAACGGAAGGGAGCAGACTGAGTGTGAAGTGGAAGCCCCTGTCCACGGTGCTGAACAAATTCCCAACCTCAGTTAATCCAGCCTGTTTGTCTATTCTGTGGCAACAGCGTGGGCTGGGAGCGTGTTTAACCTCAGCCTTTTTCTGCCTGAGAGAAAATAAATCACAGACGAACTTCTAACGCTCAGCTGTTACTTCTCGAGTAATTCTTCACGTTGTGGTCCAGCACATATAGACTGTCCTACTCTCCTCAGACCCTTAAATCCCGTTATCGCGGTAATCACGGCATATTTAGCACATCAGGGAAACTCGAGTTATGTCGTGTTGAATTAAATCTACAGAGTACAGCACGTTCAGCAGCCTAGTACTTTTTCCAGGAACTTCGTGTGAAATCAGGAGAGGAAAACGCGTTTTTTTTTGCTGCGCTGGGGTCTTCCAGTAGCCCCTCTATCGCCAGTAATCTCGGAAGAGGCTCAGAGGAGCGCGTGTGATTAATGGTAAATGGTGTCTTACCTCTGTCGCCATGTTGCCATGAGACGGTGGCGGATCTGTCCCGGTGCTGAAACCGTCTCCACTCGTGGGACAATAGCACAGAGGTTGGCGCGAGGGAGGGACGAGCTGAGTGGTGAGGGTGGAGGCAGCCGCGAGCACAGCTTTAACCATCGCGGAGGAGTGGGGGTGGCTGCCTGCTTCACACCAGCTTCAATTAATTTTGGCGAAAGCAGAATAGCTCATCTTCAGAAATTATAGGGGGGAGTCCAGCGCCTCAGACAAGTGTTCAGAGGGGATTGGTGATTAGTGGTTAAAGCTCTAGGGAAACAATGAACTGTGGGTGTTCCTTAAGAAACCTGAGAACAACAGTAATACTACAGGATGTTCTACAGGATGTTATATCCTATAAGTGTTGAACATTTACAGTAGGATACCACATAAGTATTATAGATTACTATAAACCACTATAAAAAATATTATGAAATGATTATAGGTTATTGTAGAAGTAGAAGAAGGTAACATTTTTTATAACACCCTTATTAAGGTGTATCAAGCCAACAGCTTTGAATCAACTGGCTGCACATTTCTACCTTGTTAATTAATTATTGGTTGAATTAAGCATTTTCCACAGCACCGTTATTTTCTTTGCTCTTTTATTAAATACCAAGCAGAAATGCACATACAACAACACAGCACGAATAGCAGGAGGTCATTACCAGCCATATTTCTCTGCTTCAGGTAGTGAACTACCTCAGCCAACTGCCCAACACAAAATGACACAGGTAACACATACACACATTTTAAACTAACACAACACAACATAAACAACAAGTCCTTTTTTCAGAGGGCATGCTCCTACCATGAGCCTATACAGCAGCACGAGCCAGTAGTGAAACACTGCAACATGATGACATCCAACTAGTGCTTTGCTCAAACAGTCTAATGAGACTCAAGCTGACATGGGATTGACTATAAGCTATGTTTATAAGCAAATAAGCCAGGGGTCTTTAATTCCAGAGTTCAGTGTCCTAGAGGACTGGTTTCTTTGTTCAAGACACCTGATTCAACTCACCTGTTCATTGACAGGTTTAGTATTTATTATTATTTTTTATTAATTTATTTATTTTATTTATTTTTTTTGAGTAGGTCAATTACTAAACTGTGCTGGACGCTGGGCCTCCAGGAGAGTTGAATAGGATGTGTCACAGAAGTTAATACTTTCTTAGGTGCAATTGTTAACTATAAGTCCTTCTTTTTTGTTTGTTTTTAATTAGAGCTAACAGGCAACTGATGAGAGGTACTGATGAGAATGAATTGATGATGTACTGAGGTATTTATTGACATATTGATGAGAATCGAGTGGAGACTTGCTGAGGTTTTTAAGCAAAGTGTTGATAAGAATCACATTAAGCACACAATTACTGCACACTATTTAATGCTTAATAAAGAAGCGGTGAGCAGCCAGTTACTTATCAAGCCTTAGTAAGAGCATTACAAATGGAATGTAATGGCCAACTAATGTAACCAAACTATGTGTTACACAATCTTATAGTTTCCTACTATACTCCTATACATAAATGTTGCATTGAATAATGTGTTACCCATGAGTCCAGATTGGCAGGTAATTTTCTCTTCTTAGCCATTAATAATCAAATCACATCATGTTCACAGCATTGGCAATGAATTAATCATAAGTCTGAACATTCATTTCCTAGGCTGCATTGCAACACTACAATGATATGAAATTGATTTACATGTGTGAGCTGCTGGACAATAACAATAGAAATTATAAATAGTTATTGCCTTGTCAAGTCAAGTCTCATTGTGTACAGGATGAATGGCACAAATCTGGAACTGCTGGTGGTCCCAGGGAGTTCAAGAGGTTAATTGATATTAATTTTCATATGGGGTGCCATTATTTAATTGTATTAATATAATTTTGTTTATGTTATTTCTTTTCTTTTTTGCACCGGGACCCATAGGATTCTGTTTCCACCACTGGATGGTACAGTTTGAGTTTAGTTTAGGATATGTGCTAAAAACAGTTTCATTTCTATTGAATATTTGAGAGCAGCATGGGGACCAGTCCAACTCATACATCTATGAAGCAGCCTGCATAATTCATGAGGAAGAGCAAAGCCTTTTAAAAATGTATCACTCACATGCATCAGCTGTTGGATAGCCTAGAGTTTTTACCAGTTCTTTGGTTTGAATGTATTAGTTGAGAATTCATTATTTCTCAAAAAAACAATATGGCTAGGTGTAGATGAGGAAGATGTCCTGTTTTAAGTAGGCTTATAGAATGTAGTTAACTGACCACATGCATCTACCATTTTGCTTGTAGTGAATTTAATCAGATGAATAATTGCTCACAGAGATTATTTTCCTTCACTCATATGAATTATGTAGGATATCAGCTAGAGCTGGTTTGTGATATGCTTATGAATTTGAAAAGAGTTTGTAAAGACTTTAAAGAAGCTTAAACCTATTATTCTATTTCTTCACACATGCCTTGTCTTTGAGGTTTGAGCTACTGAACAGCAGAGTTGTTCGCCTAAATGTCTACACCCACATCTCTAAATACAGGCTGTTAAACCTTCACTAACTCAGGTCAAATGACATTGTTTGCTCAGTCTAGAAAGGTGCATATAGGCTGACTTATTTGGGTAAACAACCTCTAGCTCAAAGAAATAATGCTGCTGCATGTGGGGGAGTAGTAGGAAAAATGTAAATACAAAAAGACAGCAATGATTTACAAATCCTTTTTGACTTGTATTCGCCCTAAAACAGTACACAGAAAAGATATTTGATGTTTCAATTAATGAACTTTATTGTTATTTGTTTGCGTAATTTTGAAAAAGTTGAGAAAGAAGCCACTTCCATGTCGTTAATTTCCAAAAACAATCTGAAAGTTGGACTTGTCAGACCACAGCACACATCTATGAGCTATAGATGAGCTATAGCTCAGAGAAGTCGTTGGCATTTCTGCATGTTGTTTACACATGGCTCCTAACTTGCATTTGTAGATGCAGCAACGGACTGTGTTTACTGACAAGGTAGCTATATTCCTTAAGCATGTTGGTTTTTATTGCAGTGCTGTCTAAGGAATCAAAGGTCACAGGCATTCAATATTGGTTTTTGGCCTTGCCATTTACAAATTGCTCTGGATTCTCTGAATCTTAATAAGGTTATGGATTGTAGATGATGAAATCCCTTGCAAGCATGCATTGAGAAACATTCCCAAACTTTTGTATTATTCATTGTCCCAGCTTTTTGGATTTGGGTTTGGTACAAATGCAGTCCTATATAAAAGTCACAGAGTAAACTTAATTTATCAGGCTTTTTCAGTATTTATCAGTCTTTAAGGTTGGTTGCATTTTCTGCTTCTCACTATTTGACTAATCCCAATTACAGACTTAGACTCTCTCCACATCTCAGATTGATATTCTTGTGTCAGCTTTCTTTTGTCAATTTACTTTTCTGAGTAACAGCTTCTTGACAGCTACACATCCTCTCAGAACCATAATGCTGGGTTGTCTTGTTACAGTGGAAGAATGGACAGAAACACTTGTGAATTTTTTCATATCTGACACAAGAGTGGAGCTTGAAGTTCTCTTCTGTCTCAAAGAGAAAAGCTTTAAGTGCTGTTTAATATATTTATTAATGGTGCTTTGAATTGACATAAATAAAATGTATTATAAGAACACAATAATTGAGCCCCTCCAATGAAAAACTGTGTATTAATCATTCTACCCTTTTTGGATTATCGGTTTTGCTTTCTATTTTGTTTTGTACAAGCTTTTTACATTAAATAGCCAAACTATACTTTATTTTATTAAAAAGGTCACAGACACGTTTTTTTGTTGCACATGTTTAATTGTCAAACCAAGTAAAATTAAAGAAGGCAGTTGTGTTGATGTAATATATACTCTGTGTGCAAGCAGTTGACACAAAAAGCATGAACCATTATTTTCAGTGTTAGATGTGATAGTGTACAAATTAAACACTGATAGATTTGATATTAAACATAGTGCTGCTTTTTTAGTTTTCTATTTTTAGGCTTGTGCATGTTTTATATTGTTGCTGTCTGAAGAAAAACACAGAAACACGTAAAATCCAAAATAGTAAATTTACTTTAACCTTCAATGCAAGTTAAGGCAAATAGGTTTTATTCTAAGTGATTTTGGGGCATTTTTATTGGTCCACACATCATGAGTTTTTCACACAATATAAAAGACAGCTGCCATGTTTACATAATGTAAAAAATAAAAAAATGGAGATACATGGTTTCTGTTTGTTTTTTGTATTATTGGACAGCGAGAATAAGTTTCTTACAACACTTGCCCTTTACATTGTGTGAACATTTCATGATGAACTAACCAGTAGAAACTATCCAGAATTACTTGGAATAAAGCCCTGTTACATTTAAGAACATTGAGATAAGAACTTTTTCCTTCAGTAGACATTTTTTTAGAAAGTGGGGCTCCTCCATATGCTAGTAAACACTATAAAATTCTTTTCTCCTAAGCTGGCTGAGTCACCACATTGGGAAGCAAGCAGAAAAAGGAGCTTTGGCTGATTCCAGCTTGCTCCAGATTGCTTGCAGGGAATGCAGATCAAGCCAGTGGAAATTTCTTCCAGAGTGTTCCATCCTCAGCATTTTACTAAAACTTCAGTTCAGTCAAGCTGTTTCTGGCTCCTCCTAGTTATACCTGCATGTTGAATAACAAAAGCATTTTTGCCAGGAAAAGCAAATTCATGTCTCAGGTCACTGCAATTTATTTTACTTTATTCCTTGGAATATCAGAAACTTATTTACATTTAAAATCGTGCATTTCAACACACTGTGTATCTCACTGTTACTATAGTGAATGAATAATCAAGACTTAGGTGTGCTTTGTGCGAAGAGAAGAACTTTACTCAAGTAGAAGTCCTCATATTAAAATAAAAGGGAACCAAAAAAAAAGAGTTAAAATGCTAATAAAACCACAAATCCTTAAACTAATACATAAATAAATAAATAAAAACTAGTCATCTGCATAAAACAACATAATCTATTGCATAACATAAATACCACATATCCAATATACTGATATCAAAGTTATATAGTTGTTAGTTGAAATTGATTTTTCACATGAATCGAATTTTCAAATTGAATTAC